GCCCCGAGCGTCGGCGGGCGGCGGCCCCGAGAGCTGGCGGGCGCCAGCCCCGGAACAGGCAGCGCGACCGAAACCGCCGCGCGAAAGACCTCGATCATATTATTTAGCGCCCGCCAAGGAAAACTTCGACGCGTTTCGCGCGCCGTCTCGCGGGCGAGCGCGTCGGCGGCGGGGCCCCAGACGGCCGCGCCCAATAGTGGGGCAGAAGCCCTCTCGCCCGAGGCCGCAGGTCCACGGCGGTTCGGCCCTCGGCCTCAGGCCTGGGCCCCAGGCCCATAGGACTCAGTAGCCCAGCCGCAGCCTCGGCCCCGCTCCCCCGCCCGTCCGCCAGGGCCCGCCCGAGCGGGTCCTGGCCCCGGGCCCGTGGCCCGAAGCCTACGCCCTAAGCTGTAAGCGTAGGCCTGCGGCCCTGGGCCCTGGGCCGAAGGCCTTGCTTGGGCCCTCGCCTGCGCCCTGGGCCCGCGATCGACTCAGCCTGCGCCCTAGGCCCTCGCCGCTTGACCCAGGCCCTGAGGTCAGGCCTCGGCCCTGGGCCCGCCTTGGCCCTTGGGCTAGTCCAAATCTAGAACCTGGGGCCTAGCCGAGGCCCTCGGCCGCGGCCCGCGCGAGCCCCTGCGCTCAGGGCTGGGGCTGGATAGCCCAGGCTTGGAGCCTTATTGGGCCTGGCCGCCATTTTCCGGCGGCCCAAGGCAAAGGGCGGCCTGGGCCCGGGCCGGAGTCGGGGCTCGGGTCGGAGCCAGGGCTCGGCCGAGGTCGGGCGGGGGCCGATCGGCGAACGCAGAGGTGGGCACTTTGTGCCGATGCGGGGATGCCGAGGTCAAGGTTGAGGCCCGACTAACGCGCCAAGGCCAATGCCGAGGTCGAGATTGAGGCCCCATTAAAAAGCCGAGGCGGGTACCGGGGTCAAAATTCAGGCCAGACAAAAACGCCGAAGCGAATGCCGAGGTTAATATTGAGTCCGACTAAAACGCCGCGGCGAATACCCATGTCAAAATTGACACAATAATTGGAACAAACATGAGCGTCCGACGTCATTTCTCATACAAGGAAGGAAGAATCGAGGCCAAGACCGAGCTTCAAAATGAAATCCAAATTGACGCTCAACTACCACGCCGAGGCGAATACCGAGGTTACTATCGAGGCCCGACTCATCCACCGAGGTGAATGCCGAGGTCAGCCTCGAGGCCCGATTCGCGCGCCGAGGTGAATGCCGATGCCAAAATTGAGATCACAAGCGAAACTAAACTCGAGGTACAAATCGAGCGTCGGCCGGGTCTGCGCGGCGCGCCTATACAATGCCCCCTACCCCCCGCGCGGCGCGCGCAAAATGCCCGCCCCCCCCCCCTTCCGCGAACTGTCCTCCGCGGGGGCGGCGTTCTCTGCGGCGATCTCCGCGGGGTCTCCGCTCTCGACGGCGGCGACCGGCGGCGCCAAAGCAGGCGCTGGCGACGGGCGCCGGCGACGGCCAGGCGCTGCGGGCGCCCGTCCGGCGCCGCGGCGGAGGTCCTCGAGAGCCCTCGCAGTCCCCGCCGTCGCCTCGCGCTGCGGAGTTCTTCCTCGGCGCCCGTCCGCCCGCCAAGTCCGGGGCGGCCGCTGCCTCGCCCAGCCCCCCGAAGGCCGAAGGCCTTGCCCGGGGCTCCCGCAGCGCCGCTGCAAACTGCCGCTGGAGCATGGAAACGGCGGCGCGGCGCGCCCGCGCGCGAGCGCCCGCGCCCTCCAGCGAGCACCTGCCGAGGTAGTCGCCCTCGCTTTCTGGGGCCCCCATCGCCTCCAGGGCCGACGGGTCGTCGCTCGCTCCGAGCGCTTCGCCCAGAAGCCCGCAACCCCTTGGGGGAGGAGGGGCTCCGCGATCTCGCCAGCCAAGGCCAGCGCCATCATCTGGAGCACCCCCTGGCCAACCGCCACCGTTCCGCCGCGCCCGGCTGGCTCGCGGAACACCTCCAGGCCGGCGCCGTTGCACAGCGGCGCGGCGCAGTCCCTCCCAGTCCGCGAGCTCCTTGCACAGACTGAAACCTGTTCCCATCTACGACGGGCCCCGCATGTAAACCGTCAGCGGCAACTCCTGCATCTTGCGCCCTGCACAGCTGGTCTTCGCGCGAGACCGCCGTCTACGAAGGCGAAGCGCCGAGATGGGAGCCGGCAGTAGTCGTCGCAACGCAGCACTGCGCAGATCTTGACGAGGCGAAGCCACGACGCCACGCACAAGCACTTCGCGAGGCCCTCGTCTGCGACCGGCTGCGCCAAGGCTCCGATGAAACGCAATAGTGACTCGGGCCGCCCTCTTCGCGTTCGCGGCATTCTGTTGGACCTCTCTGGCCGAGAGGGGCCCAGCGTTCGGGTCAAAACCCGCCGCCCGCTCGGTCCAGGCCAGGGCGCGGTGGGCCTGGTTGGGCACCGTCGGCCCACGAGGCTCGGCAGCCTTGGCAGGCACGCAGTCGATGAAGTGTACCGCCGTCCTCGGCCATGGGATGCTTTATGCGCAGGAGCCATCGGCGCAGCGTCTCGCCCGCGCGCACGTACGACATCATCGTGTTGAGGCGAGCGCGTCCCGCGACGCCGTCCAGCGCCCACCCCAAATCCATGCAGGACCGCGCCACCTCCAACGAGGGCGCCTCCATCTCGCCGAGCAGCCGGAGCAGGCGAGGCTTCCAGCGAGCCCACCGCGAGGCCCCCAGCCAGCGACGACTCTCCTCGGCAGCGGCGCGGCACTCCCGCGCGTAGCGGGTTCGTGCTATCGCGCGGGCCCCTGGCGGGGGAACGGCGTCGCGCCGATCCTCATCACACCCAGCCAAGAGGCTCATCACGCTGTCCTCCAGCATGCCTTGCTCGGGGCGGCCGTGGAGCGCACCAAGCCTTTTTTGCAACGATTCCTCGCCCACCGCCTGGTTGACGAACCCCTGCAGCAAGATCCGTACCTCTTCCAAACTGAAGTCCGCAACCGCTGCCATTTGGCCATTTGCAAGAACGCCTCCTCGAACTCAGGCTCGTCTGCCAGCAGCGCCAGACGCGGACCGAGGAGCCTACACCCATGCAGTGCCTTGCTGACCTGCCGCCACGCGGCGTCGAGGGTGCGCGGCCCCCGAGCCAGCATCTGCGCCCAACCGTGGTTCAAATCGGTCGAATGCCTGAGCCCACATGGCCCCCCGACGTCGGGCAGAGAGAAACATACACTTACGTGCTGGTACACGGAAGCATGTCCGTGTATGTCTGTATGTATACACATACATCGAACATTGTATGTATATATATAGAGAGAGAGAGGGAGAGAGAGAGAGAGAGGCGGAATCAAGCCATAAAAAGAAAGAGAGATCTATATCTATATATATATATAGAAACAGAGAGAATAAGGAAGCGAATGAGAGAGAGAGAGAGAGAGAGAAAGAGACAAACAACACAGAGACAGAAACAGAGATCGGAGAGCATGAGGAGCCGTCCAGTTGCTCCCGGACAGAGTAATCTATACCTAGAAAGAGAGAGAGAGAGAGAGAGAGAGAGAGAGAGAGAGAGGGGGGGAGAGAGAGAGAGAGAGAGAAACAAACAAAACTATAACAAAAGAAAGGGGACCAGAGAGTGACAGACGGACGGAGAGGGAGCAACAGCGACATAAGAGAGTGAGGCACAGAGATAAGCCCAGTGGCAAGGACCAACAGACAGACAGACAGACAGACAGACAGACAGACAGACAGACAGACAGACAGACAGACAGAGACAAAGGCCCATATACATATGTACATTATATGTGCACATCAGATTTAAAGGGCGAGCGGTCATTCACTGTCCCTGGGTGCATGGCTGCAGTGGGATTCCGCGGTGCAAATTATTGTTGTTGTCGTCGTCGTTGTTGTTGCTGTTTGCCGTTTGCTGATTACTTTTGTTTGTTGTTGTTCGGCGTGCCCCCGCGACCCGGCCCGCGACCCGGCTCGCGACCCACCCCGCGACCCCCCCGCGACCAACCCGCGACCCACCCCGCGACCCCCCGCGCCCCAACCCCCCGCGACCCACCCCTCGACCCGCCCGCGACCCACCCACGACCCGCCCGCGACCCACCCGCGACCCACCCGCAACCCACCCGCGACCCACCCACAACCCACCCGCGACCCACCCGCGACCCACCCACGACACACCCCCGACCCACCCGCGACCAACCCCGCGATCCACCCACATTGCTTTAACGAAAAAACGAAAAACGACACCTGCAGCGGGCTCGTTGTATAATTTGTGAAAATGAAGCGCCTGCGGCAGGCTTCTGCGGACCTTTGCAGACTGCAGACGTCCCCGCCGCCCCTCAATCTTCCCTGCGACTGTGGGGTATTACGTAAACAAATATTCTCACACACGCTACAAATACATAACAATAAGTTACAGACCTTCATACACATACAGATGCATTTACATATACATATGCGTAAACATGTGCATACACATCTACATACACATTTACAACTGCATATACATATACCTACATATGTATATATATACATATACTGCTACATCTACATCTACGTTTACATCTACATGTACCTATACAGGTGTATATGTATATGTGCACATACATATACGTTTACATATACCACTACATATACACATACGTATACACATATACATACGTGCACATATGCATAAACATGTATATACGCACTTTTCACACACACACACATATATGGAGAGACATAGGGCGACTGGGTGAGCAAGATCGAGAGAGACATAGAGACGGCCGCAGACATACATACACAGATAGATGGAGAGGCCCAGAGCGAGCCACAGAGAGAGAGAGAGAGACGCAGAGAGTCACACACACATCTATACAGGGAGGGAGACACGTGACGACAGAAAGACACACAGGGACGGATCCGGAGAGATACACACAACTATATATATATATATATATACACATGAAAACCAAGTACAGGTATGGAGAGAGAGAGAGAGAGCGAGAGAGAGCAACAGAGAGAGAGAGAGAACCATACACAAGCACAGCCCTGGCCCTCTGCCGGCGGGGCCTCATGGCGGCATCCTTGGGGACCAGCCTGGGCGGGCGAGAGAGGCGCCACGGGATACTCTCACGGGGAGGGCGGAGAGGCGCCGAGGGATTCGGAGGCGCAGGCTTAAACTCAGAGGCGTGAGAGAGAGCAGGGGGGCGAGAGCAAGATGGGGGAGCCAGGGGGGAAGGGGGGAGAGAGGGGCGAAGAGAGGGCCGAAGGGGCCGAAAGGGAGGAGAGGATACGCTGGCAAAAAGGGCACAGGAGGGCAGAACGAGAGAGGCAGCGAGAGTCGGAGACAGAGCGCCTGGTCTCTGGGGGCTACAGTTTGGGAGCTGCACGTGCGGGCTACACTCGGGGCCTACACGTGGGGGGGCTACACTTGCGGGGGGCTACACGTGGGGCTACACTTGGGGCGTGGGGGGGTGCACTTGGTGGCTACGCTTGGGGATCATTCGGAGGGCTACACACGGAGCCTAGACATGGGGGCTACACTAGGGGGCTTGCACGTGGGGTCTACCCTTCGGGGAGAACGCATGGGGGGCGACACTCGGTGGCTACACATGGGTGCTACATTCGGGGGATGCATATGGGGCTGCACTTGGGGGCTACACATGAAGGCTACACGACGGTTCGCCCGCGCCGCCAGCCCCTCACTCCTATCCGCAAGCGCGGGACGCTACGTATGTAGGCAGAGAGAAAGGGAAAGAAAGTGAGAGAGAAATATTGAAGCCGAGAGAGAAACAGAGAGAGAGAGAGACTGGCAGATGAGTAGGAAAGGCACGAGAAGAGAGAGAGAGAGAGAGAGAGACGCAAGGCACGACAGAGAAATGTATATAGAGAGAGGGAGAGAGAAAGAGAGAGAAAGAGAGAGAGAGAGATAATGAGACAGGGAGACGCCCTAAAACATGAGACTGGCGAAAGACCCAAACATATGCATTTGTGGATGACGCAGTGGTGAATATCCTCTTCGGTGAAGCTTCTTCAGATTCTGGGGCCACGACGCGCGTGCGGAATGTACCAATATGGGCGCGGTGAGCGCGTGCGATCGCAGCCACCTGGGCCTTCGGTGGAGCTCCCGATAGGGCCACGAAGCGTGCGAGGGTGTGCCGCGATGGTCGCGGCGGGCACATGCGAACGCAACCGCCTAGGCCTTCGGTGGAGCCCCTTACGGGGCCATGGAACGTGTGAGGGGTGTGCCGACATGGGTGTCGCGGGCGCATGCGAACGCACCCACTGGGCCTTCGGTGGAGCTCCCTGTGTGGCCAATAAGCGTGTAAGGGGTGTGCCGATGTGGGTGCGGCGAGCGCATGCGAACAGTGGAGCCTTCGGTGGAGCGCCATATTGGGCCGCGAAGCGTGTGAGAGTTGCGCCGACAAGGGTGCGGAGGGCGCACGCGAGCGCAGCCACCTGGGCCTTCGGTGGAGCTCCCTATGGGGCCACGAAGCGTGCGAGGGTGCGCCGAAATGGGAACGGCGGGCGCATGCGAACGCAGCCGCCTGGGCCTTCAGTGGAGCGCCCTATTGGGCTGCGAAGCGTGTGAGAGTTGCGCCGACATGGGCGCGGAGGGCGCACGCGAGCGCAGCCACCTGGGCCTTCGGTAGAGCTCACTATGGGGCCACGAAGCGTGCGAGGGTGCGCCGAAATGGGAGCGGCGGGCGCATGCGAACGCAGCCGCCTGGGCCTTCGGTGGAGCGCCCTATTGGGCCGCGAAATGTGCGAGTGCCGACATGGGTGTCGCGGGCACATGCGAACGCAACTTCTGGAGCCTTCCCTGGAGCTCCCTATGGGGCCACGGAACGTGTAAGGCGTGTGCCGATGTGGGCGCGGTTGGCGCATGCGAACGCAACCGCTGGGGCCTTCGGTGGATCTCCCTGTGGGGCCACGAACAGTGTGATGGTCGGGCCGGCTGGCACGGGCGCGGTGGGCGCATGCGAACGCAACCATTGGAGCCTTCGGTGGAAGCCTGTGAGGGGTGTGCCGGTGTGGGTGCGGCGGGCGCACGCGGGCGCTACTGCGGGGACCTTCGGCGGGACTCCATACGGGGCCACGAAGCGTGTGAAGGGTGTGCCGGAATGGGTGCGGCGGGCACATGCGAACACAACCACTATGCTCTTCGGTGGGGGCACGAGGCCGTGTGAAGGGTTTGCCGACATGGGCGCGGCGGGCGCATGCGAACGCAACCGCTGGAATCTTCGGTGGGGTCCCCTAGGGGCCACGAAAAATGTCAGGGGTGTGCCTACATGGGTGCGGTGGGCGCATGCGAACGCAGCCACGAGGCCTTCGATGGAGCTGCCTATGGGCCTATGGGGCCACGCAACATGTAAGGGATGTGCCGATGTGGGTGTGGCGGGCGCATGTGAACGCACCTACTGGGGTTTTCGGTGAAGTTCCCTATGAAGATACGAAGCATGTGAGGGGTGTACCGAAATTGTAGACTGGTGCGGATGGCAGGGGCAGGGATGAGAGGAGGGAGAAGGATGGGAGGAGAAGGAACCAGGGGCGGTGTCTCTTCGAAACGAGAGCCCAACACCACAGGATGGTAGACACTAACAAACAAGCAAGCACATACACCAGCAAACAAACAAACGAAGACACACACACACACAAATACACAAACAAACGAACACACACACATAAACACACAAAGAAACAAACAAGTAAACACAGTGGCGAGTCAAGTACTTCGATGGGCCACGGCACTCCTTGCAAACGAAGGCAGCCTAACATCAGACAGCGAGATGCTGGATCGAGACGATGCGTGTTCGCAAATAGTATCGGCATCAGTCGGTTTGGGTTCATCGGGTTGCATACCGAACGTGTTTCAGAGACGGGTTATCATGTGATCCTTCTCTCCCTGCCCCAGATGCCGACCTCCCTCTCATGAACCCACGTCCCTCCCTCTCCTCCGCAGCCTGGAGGGTTCCCAAGAGGGTTGGGGCATAGGGGGTTGGGCCGACCCCCTGCGTTTATCACCTTTTCCGACGGCTCAAAAAGGAGGTCAAGCGGCTACCCCTCTCTGCGTTTTACCTTCTTTGGAACCGCCGGTTGCAAGGATCCCACCAGCTTTTTTGGCGTAGGTGGTTTAGGGCGGTTCCTCTTCCAACCCCATTTCTATCCCTTCGGGGAGGGGTTTCCCCTCCCCCCACCGCCTCACCCGGACTTGGACGGGGAGGGGCCGCGAGGTGTCGGAGCGTCCAAGACGGCCCCGGCGAGGAAACCAAAATCATTGGTTTCACCAAAAGGTTTTGGCCCCATTTTGGCCTCTTGGGGGGGCGACGCTGAATAAGGAACCCCCCTTCCTCGATCGATCTCCTCCGAAATGGCCCCACGAGCGCTCCCAAGGCTCCCAAGGGTGCCCCAAGAGGGCCCCAAGAGGTAGCCAGGAGGCCCCAAGAGGCCCCCAGGATGCCCCGAAGAGGCTTCCGAGAGACCCCCAAGAAACACCCAAGACGCTCCAAGAGGCCTCGGCGACAATGCCGGAATCATGGGTTTTACCAGATTTTGGCCACATGTTGGCCTCCTGGGTGGGGGGGGCACGGCTTCAGATGATTCCAAGAGCGCCTGGGAGAGCCCAAGATGACCTCCAAGATGGCTCAAAATATCCCAAAATGCCCCAAGATGGCTCCCCCGATGTTCCAAGAGGCCCCACGGCCGTTCCAAGACGGTTCCAAGTGACCAAAGAGCTCCCCCAAGAGGCTCCGAACAGGCCAAAATCCTTCCAAAACCTTCGGAACATACATGTTTTTGGCTTTCTCGCCGAAGCCTCAACATGGCCCCAAGATGACCCAGGAGGGCTCCAATGCTCCCAAGAACGCTCCAAGAGGGCCCCAAGAGCCCCAGGAGGCCCCAACAGGCGCCCAAGAGGCCCCCAAGAGGCTCCCAAGAGACCCCCGAGAGGTCCCAAGAAGCTCTCCGAGGCACCCAAGATGCTCTGAGAGGCGCCCGGGACCGCCAAGAGGCCCCCAAAACGCTCCAAGAGGCCTCCACTGGGGACCCTTCCTCCGTGTGCTGCCCATTTCCCTGATCGAAGCAATTCCTGTGGACATCGTTTCTGTATGGGCTGGTGTGGATACTTTTTGTTCACGAGCGCGCAGGGGTGCCAGGCGCCGTCAAGAAACGCGGCTAACAAGCAACAGCCGGAATTCCGCGGCACGAGGAGGAAACGAAAGCAAGCGGAATACGAGGCGAGGCGGGGACGAAGCGGAAAAAAAGAGCGAGTTACGCTGCGGCTCAGCAGACGCGGTGGATCAGGAAGAACCCACTGGTCGAGGTGCAGCACCAAAATGGCGAAATTCATGAAATCCACGTACTCGAAGACGGCCGTTTCTGGATGGGCTGGTGAAGTTACGCGAAGCGTCTGGGATTCATCAGCCAGGTGCGGGGCCATCACCGAGCCTGCAGGCTCGCGCCAGCTCCCACTCCGCCTCCCGAAACTCCTCTAGCTCGATCAGGGCTTTGGCCTTGCGGTACATGGCCTTCGGGGGGGAACCCCTTTTCCTCCCCCTGCCTGGTCGTCGTCGTCGTCGTCGTCGTCGTCGTCGTCGCCGTCGTCTTCTCCCACCGCCTCCTCCTTCTCCTCCTCCTCTTCCTCCTCCCTCCTCCTCCCTCCTCCTCCTCCTCCTTTCCCTCCTCCTCCTCCTCCTCCTCCTCCTCCGCCTCCTCCTCCTCCGCCACCTGGCACAGGATCCCTTATCCATCATGCTTCCATAAAAAATTCCGTTCATGGCCACCGCGAGCCTCTGTCACGAATTGGTTCCCCGTCGTGGAACCAAACAGCGACCCGAAAACCGAACCACTTCTGAGCTGGACGTGGTCCCTATTCATCGCCTCGACAGCACACAAGAGACAAGCAGCGTAGGGTCTCTTGGCGATGCGGGCGCGACCTTTCTTATTTTTATAATAAGAATAGAAATTTAATCTATTTTAAAGTAATGAGGAACTGTACTTGTGGCGGCCTGCCTTGAGTCAACGAAATTCCAAGGAACTGGACTCTACACCTTGCGTCGTAGGGCCGCGAGGAGGAACTCACATGCATCGTAGTGGTCAGACGGGCCAGCGGGGCCTGAAGGGGCCGCGCCGACGGGGCCCCCATGAGATCCCACTGGGCGGCGGACAAGGAAGCGGTCAAGAGAGAGAGGGACAAGCGCGCGTGTGGCGCACCTCTCACTGACAAGGAGTGGCCCAGCTTCAAGCTACCCCGCCCGTCCCTTGGAAAAGGGTGGGGGGCTTCCGAAGCCCCCCCGCCCCTCCCTCCCTTCGCGGGCATTTTTCAGCTGGGGGGCCCCGGCTAAAGGGGGGGGGGTTTGACAACACCCCCCCCCCTCCCCCCTTTCCGGGACCAAGGGGGGGAGTTCGAAAGCTGCCTCCTCTTCTTTTCGCAGATGAGATTGGTTTGCCAAGGGGGGGGGGGGCTTCAAAGCTACCCCCCCTTCCTTGTCCGGAGCCTAAGGCCAGCCCGGGTTGACCTTTCAGGGGGGGGGGGGGCTTCGGAAGCTACCCCCCCCCTCCTTTCGCAGCTGGGATTGCCTTGCCAGGGGGGGGAGGCTTCAAAGCTACCCCCCCCTTCCTCCTTTTACGGAGCCCAAGGTTGAGGTTCGGCAATAGCGACTACAGACGGTCCACCGCCATATCGGGCGAAGAGCCTCAAACTCAAAAAAAAACTTCGAACCATCTCTAAGCCAAAACCTGCGAACATCTCAAACTTAAAACAAACCTCAACAGAAACTCTAAACCACAACCTGCGACAACCTCAATCAACAACAACCAACAACTCTAAGCCAAAACCTGCGAAAATCTCAGACTCTAACAAACTTCAAAAAACTCTAAACCAAAACCTGCGAAAATCTCATTCTATAAAAAACTGCTAAACACAACTCTAAACCGAAACCTGGATAAATCTCAAATTTACAAAAACTTAAAACCGGAACTCTAAAACAAAGCTTTGAACAATCAACAAAACTATATAAAAACTCCAAGCGCCTAAAAACTTATTTTTATATAAAAAAACACTTTTTGAAAAAAAAACTCCAAACGCCTCAGAACTCGAAACACACAAAAATATGAATCAACTCGAAAAACTTAAATAATTTTGTTTAACAAAACTCTGGGACCCTTGTAGCCCAGGGGGGCGCCCTTGTAGTCCAGGGGGGGGGGGGTCCTGTAGTCCGGCGGCAGGCACACTCTGATCTTCGCGGGGCGACGCCCCGCTCGACGACCGCAGATATGCACCCCACGCAAAGGGCCAAGCCAAAGTGGCCACAGTTGCGCATTGGGAGGGCCACGAAACAATACCGCCCGCGCGGGACACCACTTTGTTGGGCGCATCAGGGGCGCACTTGATTGGCGGGGGCTACGCGCGTGGCCGCGCCGACCCCCGACGCGGGGCACTGGGAGAGGGAGGGGGGGAGGGAATAGAGCACGAGGGATGATGATATTGTGGAGAGGCCTTACGGCCAGTGCCGCCGACTTTGAACGATGACGACGACGACGACGTTGACGACGACGACGACGACGACGAATCCGTAGCCATTTTGGCTCAAGGCCATGGCGATCCCGACGACCGCAAGTCCTTCGGGCGCCGTCGAGCGCGAGGGACGCCGCGCCCTGGGCCAGCTTCTTGCTTCGTGTCTTCGATGCAGCGTGGCCAGGCGGATCGCGCGGGGCCAGCAGCCATGTCGGGCGGCGGGACTGGAGCGCCGCGGCGCAGGGAGTACTGGGTCTGCAGGTGCAAGGAGTGGAACTGGTGCGACAGGCGGGCGACCTGCAAGTCTTGCGGGAAGGAGGCGCCAGCGTGGGCGAAGCGCCTGCGCGCGGCGCAACTGCCCCAGGCCGACGGGGAAGGCTTCGTCCAGCAGCCCAGAGGGCGCTCGCATCAGCGTGCAGCGCGCCGAGCTGGAGACGCCTCCCGAACAGCCTCGGCCGCCAGCACCGTGCCGAGCAGTGCGCCCAACAGCTGGGGGCGGCCGCGGGGCGGTGCCAAGCCGCCGCCTTGGCGTGAGGAGCGCGTGGAGCAGCCAGAGGAGCCAGCGTCGAGTCTGGAGCGCAGGCTCGAGGAAGCCCAGGCTCGCATCTCCAGCCTCCGCGAGGCGGTCGCCATGGAGGAGACCAGCGAGGCCTTCCAGCGTGAGGCCAGGGCGGCCCTCCTCGCGGCGGAGGCCTCGGCCGAGAGGGCAGAGGCTGAGCTCCGCGAGGCCCAGCGGCTTGGGAGGCCCCCTCACGCCGTCCTCCACGGCGGCGCCAACGCCATGCAGAAGGTCGAGAAGCAGATCGCTACAACCAGAGCCAAGCGCGAGCAGGCCGTGCAGCGGGCTGACTCCCTCAGAGGGAGGATTGCGGCGATACAGGAAGAGCTGACCGAGACAGAGTCCGAGGTCGAGGACTTTGACAGCCTGCTCGTCAAGCTCGAGGAGTCGAAGGCCCAGACAGTCCAGCAGGCGCTCCAGCGGGCCATCGAGGTGTGCGGAGGCCAGCAGCCCCTTGAGACCGCGGTCGGGGGCCTCGTCACCCAGGTCAGCCAGCTGGGGGAGTTGCTCGGCCGCAACGCGGACGGCGTCGCGCCCAGGCTCCTGGAAATCATGGGCGTTATTGCCACGCAGAGCGCAGCCATCTCGGACATGCTCCACCCCGCTGCGCCTGCCGCCGCAGCCTCGCGTTGGGCCGACGGCCTTGGCGGGGGCGGGCTCGCCGTCGACGACGAGGAAGGCGCCCCCGCCCCAGCCGCTGGAGCCTCCGCCCCCGCAGTGCAGCGGCCGCCAGCGGAGGCAGCAGGGCAGCAGGTGCGGCCATGCCCGCCCACCCAGCGGGCGAGCCCAGCAGTGGGGCCCTACGGGCCAGCCGCCGCCCGCGGGCAGTCGGGCGCGGCGCTCGGCGCTCGGCCCCAGCCTGGCAAGGCCGAGCGCGGGGTCCTTGAGGATGCCAGGGACGAGCACGAGGACGGCCAGGCCTTGGCTTCCCTGGCAGCTGCTGGGGGCTACGCTCCTATGGGCCCTCGCCGCTCCTAGCCGCTCGGCAGCGGCGACAGCCTGGGGACCCGCGCCGCCTCCGCCGCCGCCTGGCTGGCCGACCGCGCACCTGACGCGAGGGGAGCCACGGCGGCAAGGCGGGTCCACTCCTGGGCCGAGGTGCGGTCGGGACCGCCGAGGCGTCCCCCCGACGGCCTCGAGCGGGCAGACGGCGGGAGGATTCAGCCCTCCGACGTCGCAGCCGTCTGCCCCGCCCCATGGGAGTCGCGGAGCCGCCGCCGGGTTCACGCCAGCCGCCCTTGAGGCGAGAGTGGGCAGGGCTGTGCCTGCCTCTGAGAAGGTTGCTGGGCTGCTCCGTGCATGCTTCGACGTGCTGGACGTCTACGGCAACACATGTGACCGTGCCTCGGAGGTGCTAGAGGCCTACATCGCGCGTGGGGACGCGCACCTGATCGCCGAGGACATGATCCACAAGGCTGGGCCTACGTCCAGTGTGGCATGGGGGCGGACGGTTACTGGTGAAGCTGACGGAGAGTTGCGCGGTGGGCGTGTCACCGCGGGCCCCCGCTCGGAGCGGCGCGCCCGCGGCGCGGCCCTCGGCCTCAGGCTGCGGCGTGCGGAGCCCCGCAGGGCCCTCGACCTGGATCCGCCCATGCTGGTCACGGACTGCACGCCCCATAGTCTTGCAGGATGGTTGCACTCGGGCGAGCGCTCCCCGCCGATACCCAGAGGAGCACTCGAGGCTACAGCGCCGCGGCAGGCGTCAGCAGCGGAGCCCTGGGCGCACCGCGACTTCCCCGTGGAGGCAGCTGTCCTCGCCCTGGGCAGTTTCGGCTGGCACTTCAGGTTCGAGCGGTGCCTCATCACGGACGTGCGGGACATGACGCTGATGGGGCTGCGTGCGCTTGACTCCGAGGCCAGCCTAGGGGCGAGGCGCGCCTCGGGTTGGCTTGAGATGCGGAAGCTGGCCAGTGCCCCGTCTGTGTGTGGCCCCGCCTTTCGGGTTGCCTGCAGGGAGTTCGTCAGGCCAGGAGGCGAGCTCGGCGAGCGCCAGAGGAGCGGGCTGGTCTCCCACCTCACGAACGCGCACTGGCCGCAGGCGAGGCTCCGCAGTATGTTCGAGTGCCCCATGCTGGCGGCCCCGCTGAGCGACTCAGTCTCACCAGCGCTGGCGAGGAGCGCCGTGCGGGTTCGCCCTCTCGGAGTGGCAGCAGGGGAGGTCGTTGCTCGGCGCTGGTGGTCAGCGACGCCGCCCCTACAAGGGCCTCGCACGGACGCCATGAGTTGCTGGAGGACACGCAGGCCGTCCGACGTCAAGCCCAATGGCAATTTGTGCGTGGACGGCTCGTCGTTCGACCAGCGGCTCTACGCCTGGGGACTCGCGGGCTGGGCTTTTGCTCAATGCGACGACGACGGCAGCCTCGTCGCGGGCGCCCACGTGACCGTCAGGAGGGCCCTCCCGCCACAGCAGGCTGCCCGTGGCGGTGAGGGCTTCGCGGTCTGGAAGAATGTGATCTACGCGGGCCCTGCTGTCGAGGAGGTCCCCATCGGCGGCCGCGGCACGGCGAAGGGCCAGCACAAGGAGCTGGCCTACGCGACGGGCCCGACCAAGGCCAACGCCCACCCCTGGAGGAGCCCCGCCGCCCTCGGACCTGGTGGCTCCAGGGCGAACAAGGTGACCGCCCACGGCAACAGGCAGGCGGTGATCGGCGGGCTACGCGCGGAGGCGCAGTGGCGCGGCGCCCTGCGCGCCCGCGGCTCCGCCGAGCTGGGAGCACGGCTGCGCGCCGAGGCGGCTGTCGCCAGGCGGGACATCGCGGAGAAGGATAGTGACCGCCTCCTCGCGTCCGACGAGGGGCAGTGGGCGAGGTTCGCCGACCTGGAGGAGCAGGCCGAGCAGGCCTCTGCAGGCAGGCCGACGGAGCAGCAGCCGCACTTGGAGTGCTTCCGCTCGGCGGCCAGCGCGGTCGGCCTCTCCTTCACCGCGGCCGGCGCAGGCCGCCTCGGCCACTCCCTGGCGCACGCGCTCTGCGACGCGGGCGAGGAGTTTCAGGAGCAGGTGGCATGCAGCAGGCGCGGCGCCTACATGGTCCTCGGCGGCCGCGCTGGGGGCCGCCCTAAGCTCAAGGAGCCATGCATCGGGACAAGGGCCATCGGGCAGCGCAGCCAGCGCCGCCTCTGGCCTCGAGGGCTTCATCCAGGTGGACGGCCACGCGGAGGAGTCCAGCAGCGCATGGAGAAAGGTGCAGAGCTCCCTGCGCTGAGGCTGCAGGGGCCTCTGGCCCCGCCGGCCCAGGAGGGCTTCCTGGCCTGGCTGGGCATCGCGATCGAAGAGGGCCCCCCGCCAGCAGGTGGCAGTTCAGCGGCAGCGCCTGGGCATGCAGGCGGCCGCGAGCAGGGGCCAACGACGCGGCCGACGGCGACGGCGCAGCAGGAGGTGGCGGGCGTCGACCCGTGGGTCGCCATGCTGGCCGCGTGCGGCATGTTCGAGCAGTGCCTCGCCGAGCGGGCGCTGGCCGCCAGCTCCACCGCGGTGTACCGCCGCGACCGCCCGCGGCGCGGCCGCGGCCTGAGCCCTGGCGGCGTGTGCTCGGGCGAGTAGCCCGCTCGCCTGGATTGCCTTCATGGCCCCGCGGATCGAATCGAATCGACGACGACGACGACGTCGTCGTCGTCGTCGTCGTCGTGGTGCAGTACAGTACTTACTCGTCGTTCAGACCGTGGCAATTTTCTTTTTGTGGCAGCCCGAAGCATTCGCGCTGGGCGTGGTCGCTGTAATCCGGGGGGGGCCCTTGTTCTCCCAGGGGGGGGCCCTGTAGTCCGGGGGGGGTCCTTGTAGTCCGGGGGGGGGCCATTGTAGTCGGGGGGGGGTCCCTGTAGTCCGGGGGGGGGGGGCCCCTGTACTCCGGGGGGGCATTGTAGTCCGGGGGCCCAAAACTATTGAGGGACTCAGAGTAAGTGTTTGGAAGCTTCTTTAGAGTCTGAGATGTTCGCAGGTTTTGGCTTAGAGAAGTTTGAAGTTCGCAAGTTTTGGCTTAGATATGTATTTTTGATTTTGTCTTCGAATTTTAGATTTCCGCTGGTTTTGGCTTAGAGATTGTTTGAAGCTTTTGGGGGGGGTGAGTTTCCTGCTGAAGATGTTCCGAAGATTTCGGCTGGATTTATCGATGGACCTCCTGTAATATAATTGCCGACCCTAACCCAAGGTTACCCCCGGCTTCCCTTTCAAAAGGCTTCGGAAACTACGTGAAGCTACCCCCACTCCTTTTCGCAGCTGAGATCGACGATCCGTTGGTTCTTGGGTGCTTCTTTGATTTTCGGCGTGCTCTTGTCTTTTAGCGCTGGGTTGGTTTTCGGCGCCGCTAGGATTTTCGACGATCGTTTGGTATTCGGCGTATCTTTGGGTTTGCTGCGCTTCCTCACCGGTTGCCGGCGCACTTTTTGGTGTTCGTCGGCTCTTTGATGTTCGGCGATCAGTTTTTGTCGGCACCAGTTGGGTTTCGTTGCTCCTTTGCTTTTGGCGCTCTTTTGGTGTTCGGCGTCCGATTGGTTTTCGGCGCCCTTTGGGTTGTCGTCGCCCTTTGGGGTTTGGGTGGTTCTTTGGGTTTCGGCGTCCCTTTGGTTTTCGATTTCCTTTGATTTTTAGAGCTCTTTCGGTTTTCGGCATTCTGTTCGTACTCGGTGCCTTTTAAGATTTTGGCGCCTCCTTGGTGTTCGGGTGTTTTTCAGCTGCCGTGCGCCCTTTTGAGTTTCGGCGCGTCTTCGGTCTCAGTCGCCCTTTGGTTGCCGGCGGCCTTTTGGTTTTCGGAGCCTTCCTTTAGCCACAGAGGGGGAAGGGCTTTCCAATCCATTCTCCTCCTCTAAGTTGCCCCGATACGCAACACGCAACACGTAGGGTATCGATACGGAGCTCAACACGTAGGCTGAAAACGTAGGTCCGACGCGATACATTCGCCAAGACGTGGCCCAGTACGTGGAGCCAACACGCAACGTATTGACACGGACGTCTTGAACACGGGGCATGTTGCGTTTCAAAACGGGCGTATCGAGGCAACTAAGCTCCTCCTTTAGCCGAACAAGGAAGGAGGCGGGGGGGGGCCCCCAGCAGAGATCGTCTAATGGAAAAGGGCGTCCACGTGGCTTTCGGGGCCGCTCCGGTATTCGGCGCATCTTCGGCTTACGGCGTCGCTTTGGTTATTCGGCAATATGTAGGGTCATGGGGCATCGTTGGCTTTCGGGGTCCTTTTGGTTTTCGATGCTCTTCGGGCTTTTGGCGCGTTTCCTTTTCCGGCGTCCAGAGGTTTTGTTGGCACCCTGTCGGTGCTCGGCGAATCGAAAGTTTTCGGCGTCTGATAGGTTTTCGGCGCCGTATTGATTTTCGGCGCTCGTTTGGTTTTCGGCGCTCCTTGGGATTTCGGCGCGTTCGTAACGTTCCGCGCCGTCATCGTTTGTTCGGGTATCTTGATTTGACGGCGACTCTTGTTGTTTTCGGCGCTCTCTGTGTTTGCGGCGCTCCTTTGGCTTTCGACGCCCTGTTGGCTGTCGGAGCATCTTTTGCTTTCGGCGTCTGTTTGAATTGCGGCGCCGCTGTGGTTGTCGGCGCTCTGTTGGGTTCCGGCGCGTTGGCGGCTCTTTGGTTGTTGGCGCCCTTTTGGGTTTCGGTTGGTTTTCGGCGCTCCTTTGGCTTTCGGTTTTTTGGTGTTCTCGGCGCCATGTGGGTTCTCGGCGTGCTTTTGGTTTACGGCGCTCCTTTAGTTTTTGCAGCTCGTTTGGTTTTCGGCGCACCATTGTGTTTTCTGCGCGTCGTTTGAATGTGGCGACCTGTTCGTTGGCGGCGCCCTTTCGGGTTCCGGCGCGCCTTTGGTCTTTTGTTTTTTTGAGGTTCTCGGCGCCATTAGGGTTGTCGGTGTGCTTTTGGCTTACGGCGTTCCTTTGGTTGTTGCAGCCCGACGCGCCTTTGGTCTTCGGCGTTTTCTTGGCTTTTCGGTGCCCTTCGGTTTTCCCGCGCTCGCTTCGGTTTTGGTCTTCTTTTCGGTGGCGCGTCCTTCGTTCTTCGTGCTCTTTTGGGTTCCCGCGCTCTTTCGTATTTCCGCGTTCGGGCA